TTTATATATATATATTTATAATATTTAGATACTGTGTATGGTCAGCCAGTCCCAGCTCTACTTGGGTTTTGAAATTCTTCTCCTTTTTCCGAACAGAAGACGCGGCAACGACACACCGATCTTCTCCACGCCCCACAGAGAGAGCAAGCAGTTTTGGCAGCTTCACCATCAGAGAAACCAGTCTCGACCCGGAGGGCCTGCAAAGTTAGTAACGTGGAGAAGTTTCTCGTGCTTCTCTTCCTTCTCTCCTTCCCTCCTTTTCTCCCTGTTGCCCCCACCCCCACCCCTCCATCCCCGTCCGCCCTTCCCTTGGCAGCCGGAGTGGGTCTACACCGTCGCCCCCAACATGGCATCTGTCTCCGTCAGGATCTCGTTCTGGTTGGAATCCAGTCCAAAGAATTTGACCTTGAGTCCGTCAACCGGATGGACCACGGGCACCAGAGTGATTTTGGGGAAAGTCCTGGTGGCAAGCTCGAAGCGGCTGGTGCTGGCCAGCTCGATGGCCAGTGCCTTGAGGAAAAGCTTGGCCAGATGCTTCCCGAGACAGGTCCGTACTCCTCCTCCGAAGGGGAGGTAATGGAACCTGCCATCCTTGTCTTCGGTTCGGCCCTGCCCGAAGCGGTCAGGATCGAAGACATCCACGTCCTTGAATACGGGGGCCGTGTCATGGGTGTCCCGGATGCTGTACATGACGCTCCAGCCTTTGGGGATCTGAAAACCCTGCACAGAAGAGGGAAGGGGTTGGAAAGACAGCACGAATGGGTCAATGGTGCTGCAGAGAGGCATGGAAGAAGGCTACGGGAACAAAGTAAAGCAAAGGCAGTTGCTTTTTCCTCATTTTCTTTGGGGTTACTACTGGTCTATATTGCGGATTTAAAAGAAGAACAGAGAGCCCAGTGCAAGGGGGCTGGGAGATGGGAATCCTGGGTTTATTCCTGCCTCTGCTACCGGCCTGCTGGATGATCCATCGCTATTTATTTGCTTTGCGGTCGCTTGCAGGAGTCGCGTACCAGGAACCCTGTGGTGCTCGACTGCCGCCAAGCAAAGGGAAACATTTTTTCTCACGTCTGTGCCATGCCCCGTGAGCCGTCCGGCCCTCCCCAGCAGAGCTGCACAAAGTCCCGCAGCTCCGGTCACACCCCCACCACATGTCAGCTCCACACACCCAAAGCACATGTCAGGGCCTGGGTGATGAGAAACAGGGAGGATTTCTCATCCCCTGAGCACTTGAAAAGGTTTCCAACTCAAATCATTACATTAATAGGATTTACAGTGACAGCCAGGTCTCAAGATTTTGTTTTGCTGGTAGGAAATTCCATCTATTATGGTGAGTAATCCGCCTGTCATCCGGCAGCTTGGAGATGCCCTTTGCAGTCAACCTTTCCCTGGTCACACCCCAATTTAGATTTTGGCTTGATTGTCATGAGTTGCTCGTTGAAATATCGTGGCTGTCTCTTCTTTGACAGCCTGAGCGTTTCGGTTCCCAGCCACAGGCCTGATCCCTTCGTGCTCCTACAAACCCAGAGCAATGCCACCCACTGACTGCCAGCAGGCATTCATTTGTCCTCCCGGGGGTCTAATCCAGGCTCGCCTGCTTAGCAGGTAAGGCCCACATCTTTGTGCAAGGCACAGAAGGATCTGCAAGATGCTGATCTGGCAAGGTCGTGATGCAGCTGCATCTCAGAGAGAGCAACACGGCGAGGCAGAGAGATTTTGGCATGTGTCTAAAACACAGTGCTACCTGCAGCAGCATTCTCTAGCCAGATCTTCCCCATCTCCATCATTTCCTCCAGCACTCACTTCTGCGGACTATCTGGAGTCTCTTGGCCTTTCCCTCCATGGAGGGACTTTCCTCTCCCCACCACCAAAACACACTAGATCCTGACTTTTTTGAGACCCCTAGCTGAACAATGGGTTCAAACATCCCCTGGAGGATAGATGGACATTGTGAGAGTGCTGGAGAACCACGCTTTAAAAAGAAAAGCAAAAGTGCAAGAGAAACTGGAGCTGAAAAGCAGAGAATACTCACATCCAGCTCGAAGGTCTGCAGCACCGTCCGGTACCCCCCAGAGATGGGAGTGAAGAGGCGAAGCACCTCCTTGATGACGCAGTCCAGGTAGTAGAGGCTGTTGATGTTGTCCAGCCGGAGGGAGCCCTCACAGATGCAGCCGTTGTGGAGGATGCCTTTGCTCCGCAGCTCCTCCCGCAGCTTCTCCAGGACCCGAGGGTGTTTGAGGAGCTGCATGATCAGAGAGGTGCTGGCACTGGCAGTCGTCGCATAGGCGGCAAAGATGAGCTCCAGAGTGCCGTCCTGAAAGGCAAGCAGGGAGCCAGGATGAGGAACGGCAAGGTGGGGCCAGCCACCCAGCATGTCTCCCATGCAGCACATCCCAAAACAGGGTTGGGTGCAGTCTCATGGGCCACAGCCCCCTTTGTAGCCATCACCATCACCTTCTATCCCTCACCACTTCCCAGTGTGGCCCTCGCCCTCTTTCTCACCCTATATACCCCATGAGCCTCCTGCCCACCACCTCTCCATCCTCCAGGTGAGCTCAAAGCAGATCACAAGCTCCTGCCACAGTGCATTTCCTTCCTATCCGCATTAAGACGTGCCAGCAGTGGCTCTGCTTCCATTCCCCTGCTTCTGCAGCTTCCCATCTGCCCAGAGGGCTGATTGCAAGGGGGCAGGCAGCTTCTAGAGGGCAAGTTTGCCCCTTCTGCCGAGGTAGGACAACACCAAATGGGCAAGTTCTCCTGAGGCTGAGATGTGACTGCTGCTGCCAGGTGGAGGAGGATGGCAAAGTCACTCAGGGCAGCCCCAGCCACGCAGTGTTACAGTCCCAGGGGAGTTCCCTGAGCACTTTCCTGCCCCACTCTCCGCCCTGCCCTGCCTTCCCTAGGGAAAAAGGAGACTATGGGCAGCAAGCGTGTGCTTCTCCTGCAAAGCGGGACACCTCATCTACAGAAGAACTGTTTTTTCCACTGCGATGAGGAGACAAAATCATCTCACCCTGCTACAGTGAGAGCCCCATCAGGGCATGTGAGAAGGTAGCTGAAGGCTCTGTGGGTCCATAGCCCCACATAGCCCCATCCATAGCCACCTTTCCAAGGGGAGCAGCTCTGCCAGCCCTGTGGCTACAGCCTACATCAGGACCCACCTGGGACACTGAAGGCACAGAAGAGCCATAGGGTGGTGGTGATCTACCATTGCCTCCAGCCCAGGCAGGGTCCGGACCAGTGGCTGAGGTGCAGAGCAGACTGCTCCCTCGGCCCAGTGCTCACTGGGCTGCATCCAGCCTTTGCTGCCCAGCTGCAGCCAGATGCTGAGCAGACAGCTGCAGAGATTTCCCACGTGCTGTCCCCACTGGACAACTCTCCAGGCCCAGCCTGCCCTCACTACGAGGTCCCTCCTTGCTCAGCCACTATGTCTGCCCAGTTTCACCTGCGCTCAGGGGAAAGTAAGCCTCTTGTGTGAAATGCTGGACGACCAGCCACAGGGAAATGCCCACAGAGCCTTGCTCAGAGTTAGCAATATGGTGGAGGGAAGGCCACAGAAGTGGGAGAAGAGTCCCCGTGGATGGCTCTTAATAGAGCATAAAGGATGAGTTGTGTGGTCGCCCCACTACAGATAACCACCTGCTGAGGGCCCAAACGTCCTGAGGAGAAGCTACCATAAAATAGAACAGCTTGAGAGGTGAAGCTGGTCAGGGCTCAAAGTTTCTACAAGCTTGCAGGGTCTTTCAGTGTTCCCTGAAAAAGCTTTTTAGCAAGGGCTGAGAGTGGTTTGCAAGTAAATATGGCCCTTAGGAAAACAGCTGGCTTGGTGGCTCCATGACCCTCTGGGCAAGGATTCACCTGTAGCTCCACTAACACACTCTGGTCACCCCACTCTGAACAACTGTCTAGGACTAATCCACAACATCCTCCTTACATCAGCTTAAGCTTCGTTCTTTGAAGAGGCCCTGCCCTGAGCAGAACAACGGCCGTGGGGATGAGGGCGTAGACACCTGGTAATTCTTCCAGGTGACTATGGAGTCCAGGTTCCTCGAGCCTGCAGAAGGACAGAGAGGATCTTTACCTTGAGCTCCTGCATGGTGAGCTCCTTGCCGTGCTCTTTGCCACTCTCTATCAGGATGTCCAGAGCGTCAGCGTAGTCCTTTCCCTGTGTGTTCTGTAGTTTCTCCTGGATGGCTTTCTCTAGCCCCTTCTGCAGTGTCTCACGCGCTCGGATTCCCTGCAGAACAAGAAGCCATCAGACCACTGAGGACACAATGGTAGCACAGTCGTCTCCAGCCCGTCCCGGGGCTGGCAGGTGATAATCAGTAACCAGAGACAAGGTCAGGAGGATACGTCCAGGAGCATGACCAGGGGTGGTGGGAAGTTGGGGGTGACCCCCACGTAATAACCCTTTGAACTCAGAGGAACACAAATCTGTCCCAGCAGTACTCGGTCTGCTAGCCCACCGGCCTGCTTCCAATTGCAATTGCAGACGCTCAAAGAGAAGTATAAAAATGCTGGAGTCGTTCCCTGCCCAGGAGAAGCAGGCCCGAAGCAGGCAAGATTACAGGAGAAGCTAATCAGCACCTACGTGCAAACGACAGGTCTGACGTGGGAGCCCCACTATTGCACCAATTCACATGCCTCGCCCTCACCCTGAGATTTAAGAAAGTCCCTGGGAAAATTCTCTCTCAAAGGAAACCAGTCAATTCATCTGAAAGGAGCCTCTTCCCAAGAGTGTAATGGGCTTGCCAAGCAATTTTATCACCCGATCTCACTAAAGCAATTCCTCTTTGAGTGGAGCTGCACTGAACTAACGTACTGCTGCAAAGGCTTTAAAAAGATGCCATTCAAGTGGTTAAAGAGCAATGAGATGTGCAGTGATAGTTGCAAAAATAATCCAAAAAATCATTTCCCTTTAAGCAATTTTGCCCCAAAACTCAGGACAAAGAAAATCAAATTGGTGGACAATCTTTTTTACTATGTTTTCATTTCGCATTTCATCGAAAACTAGAAGAGTTCTAGGAATTAGGACGTCCACTGATCTGTTCTAGCCCTTTCAAAGGTAGGGCATCAGAAGGGTCACATCAACTGAAAAATATGGCAAAATCATTTGTTACGAGTAGTGAAAACTACCCATTAAACATGAGTATACCGCCATTGTATTCTCCATCGCACTGAACCACACAGCACCTAGCACTCCAAAAACCTATCTGAGATCAAGAGATGCTATACAGAGGATGAGAAGAGGCAGAAATCAGTATCTGGCTATCCACGCACTTCCAAGGTGAAAAAATCTGATCCCTGCTGATCTCAACCCCTTCACTAATTAGCAGCCTCAGATTTAGAGTCTCAGCCCTTCCTCGTCGTGAGAAGATCTCCCTCTTGACTCCACCAACACAGTGGTATTGGAACACACTTTCTAGTCCAAAATGGACCCCCTTCCAGAAGTTAGATGGTGAGAAGACATCCCACTAACGCCTGCAAAGATAAGAATTCAGTCACCGCCCCATTAATCCCAGATCAGTGTTATCAGCTGGGTGAGGACTCAGCTCTAGTGTCTTACCCTCCTGTAGCCACTGAAGGGCAGATCCACAGGCAAGGAGAATACATTCTCCACGAACTGCTGGTAGACTTCAAAGAGTCGGTTGAGCTCCTCATCAGGGATGCGGAAACCCAGCAGGACCCGGATGGCCATGCGGAAAGTGAGCTTTTGGGTCTCGTGGTAGACGTTGATGGACTCCGGGTTGCTGCTCCAGGCCCGGAGAGTGTCTTTGATCACCAGCTGGATCTTGGGGAGATAGCTCTCCAGGGCCTCGTGGCTGAAGATTTTGGAGAACACCTACAAAAGAGAGCAGGCACAGGTTTCTATGCAGTCTGTACATTCCCCTCTTTTCCTTCTCTAAAAACCCACTTCTACCCATTAAAAATGGGCATCAAGGGCCTCCCGTGCTGAGCGCTGCTCATTGTCAAGAATTGCTGATGTCTAAAATAACTACCAAAAACGGCTGATGGAGAAACAACTTTCAAGGGAACCTCCGTACGCTGATCCCCACCACGACCATCACAGATACCTGACAATAGCAAGGTATACCACAGGCCACCTTCCACCAGTGAACCAGACACAGGGAGAAAACAATTCACCCTGTACGCAACAGAATGGACGGCGCCAGCTTTCCCATAGCTCCGTGTCTCACACCTCGATCCTTTCGTGCCTGGCAAACTAGGAGCTCCAAGTCGAGCTCATCCTGCAATCTGTGTGCTACTGATATAGCTCGTCCATGTGGATTCTCTAGTGTCTAGTATTATGGTTGTGCACGTGCACGCACATACGCGTGAGCTTTTTTTTTCTCAGTGGGGAGCACTGGCAGTTTCTCTCATCTGCCCTCCATTCTACATTAACAAATATAAAAAAACTGTCATAAAATAATTATTTTGAGGCCTTTAGGGTCTCAGTGAAATCTGGCTGAACTTAGACAGGGGTTCAAGCGTGACTGGTGGGAAAACAGGCCCGCGTGTACGCAAAGGCTGACATCGCATACGGTTCATTTCCTTGGGAAGCCGGGCTAAAAACTGATGTCAGCAGACAGCATTAATTTAAGCTCTGTGAGTAAACACTGCGCCAAGGGGGCCTCCCCAGCTCCCCGATGTTAACGTCTGCTCACGCCGGCGCTGGGATTGGGCCCATCTGTTGTGCGAGGAGCACAGCAATGCCAGGAATGTCCCTGCTCCCCCGCTCGCCCGCCCGCCCACCCCGGCCAACTCCACAGCATGCGCTTTCATACCGCGTTTTC